CTCCGCAGCATCTTGTTCTTCAGACTTGGGAGCCGGCACCACTGTGTCCCCCTCTGGAGGAGACTGCTCCTTACCACTGCCAATGGGTAATTCTAGCCCACCGTCGGAAGACCACCCTCCGAGGTCCACGTGGCTGATTGGGTGGTGGTCACAAGGAGACCCCACTTCACTTCCCTCTTCCTCTATTGTTTCCGGATAGCTAGTGAGTTGGACAGTATGGTTAACCAAGCTAACAGACAGGACTCGGGGGCGGGGGCAGATGAGCACATATCATCTCAGCCAATCTAATAGTCACTTTCTGGCAAGGCATCCTGGCATCAAATAGAGTCAGTTGTTATGCAAGACATCAAACTCTTCACAATAATTAAGAGCTAGTTCAAATTTGTTACTGAAGGCACAAAACTGCTGCTGGAAAGGTCAAATTCATTAGTTTTGTTCAATATTGGAAAAACTTCCAATACAGTGTTTAGTCGATGTAATCAATCAGAGATGGGAATGGTAGATAATTAGGAATAACCATTCAATGATAAGGTTACTTTGGCTGAAAGAATTAGACCTGACTGTAAAAATTTCTTTTTATTGGACTATAAGCTTCTTGAAGGAATCCTGGTGGCATAGTGAGTCATGCACTGGGCTGCGAACTGCATGATCAGCAGTTCAAATCCACCAGCCCCTCTGAGGGAGAAAGATGAGGCTTTCTGCTCCCCTAAAGGTTTATAGCCCAGAAATCTACAGGGGCAGCTCTACATCAAGTTGAATCGAGTCATCTTGATGACAATGCATTTGGCTTTTAGTTGGAAGTTTCTGGAAGTTGGAAGTTTTTCCACCATCTTTAATATTGGGTACCCAGGCACTCGGTAACATCATCCAACGAAAAGCAATTGCTCAAGAACTCCTTGCTTATAAAGGAATAAAGTTTTTAAACAAATGCGAAAACATCATCAGAGATTAAAGAGAACACTGCTCCTGTAAAGCAACGAGAAATCAGATGCACCTTTCACTTATCAGGAGTATTTCCACGGGGAATTTTGAAGCAAGGTCCTGGGATTCCTTGCACATGAGTTAACATCTACATAAGCTCACACCTAGATGCAGATCTTACCTACATAATGATCAGAGTCTTTCTGCAACTGTCCTCTAACAGGATTGGGAGCCAGCTAGGATATGGGCGACTGTTGGCTAGGTCTCATTAATGTAACTGGTTTGAAGCATGTGTTCCTTAGAAACTTGTGATACGAGCAAAAGCATTGACAAGCCTTGGAAGCATTATGCTAACTAAATACATCAGACACAAGGATAAAGATCATCAGACCCCACGTATGTATAGGAATAATATAGAATAAGCAAATGCATAGAGTCCCAGTTAGATGAGTGCTTTCCAGGAACAGAGCTGAGGTGCGAGGAGTGTCAGGGTCAGCAGGCAATGGGTAGCTATTGTTTAATGGGTACAGAATGATGAGCAAGTTTTGGAAATAGAAGTGGCGATGGTCATGCAAAATTGCAGGTGCGATGTCAATGCATCGAATGCTGAAATGCAGGTAAGGGGACCCGTTTCATGTTAGAAATGCAGGTATTCAAAACTAACATGCTCCTTAAGAGAACTATTTGTGGAATAGCTACCTTGTGCACCTAACTCATCAACTGCCCTTAGGAAGCTTCTACTCACGACACGCTATCTCTAAGCATCTACCCTGCCCACGTCCACTTGCAACCTGATGTCGACCATTTATTTCACCTCGTGCCCAGGGACCGCATTCTCCAAAGCACTTGCAGTGGGGCCAGCCCTGTGAGCAGCCAGGCCCAGGGCTTACCTGAAGGGCCGCTCCCCGCCCAGGGGGGAGGTGGCCGTGCTCCAGCTCTTCCGGCACTCCTCCCGCTCGCCTCTCTTCTTCCTCAGGGGAGCGGGCACATAGGCCGTCTGGTTGCTTTTGTTGGGGAGGTACTGGTTAAAAGGCACTGCTGATTTTGGCTCGCCGTGGGAAGTCCGGCGTGCAGACATGTCATCCTTCTTCACGTCTGGCAGCTTCCGATGAGGCAAGTCCGATTCAGAGTCACTTCCTCGCCCTGAAGCAGAGAGGGAGGGAGCTGGGTTATCAGAACAGCCCAGGGGCCAGCATGTCGCCTGAAGGATGTGGCTCTGATTGTGGGTTCCAGGGATTCCTTCCTTCAATTATGCCCTTCACAAATCTCAAGGATCAGTCTAAGTTCAGTCCTCTCTGGAGAAATCAGTAGACACTCATCCAGAAGAAGGATGGGAAGGGTGGGGCAGTACAAATTAAGGAATGGAGGTAAGCTAAACCATGTCTGGGAAGTACAACTGGCAACCCATCATACACTGGCTGGGTTATGCAGCCGGCAAAAGGAAACGTGAAAGCTCACCTGTGACATTGTTCATGACCACCTGGTGCATGCGCTAGAGACACAGACACCGAAGAATGATAAAGGGTTGGGTCTTTGAGATATCTTTCATCAATTCTAGAAAGGTCTGGAGCACGGAAGTTACCATCCAGGAGCAGAGTATAAGAACAATGCCCACTTATCATTAAGTCGATTCCAATGCACAGCGGCCCGATATTCACAGCGACCGCAGTAGTGGTTCCAGGACTGAGGCCCTTCACAAGCGCAGGAAGCCTCATCTTCCTACTGTAGAGTGGACGGTCGCTAGGAACTGCGGACTTCAATGGTAGCAACCCAACGTTTAGCCAAAGGTATAAGAGGAATTTGGAAACGTGACCATTGGGGCTGATGTAAGTATATGCCTTCCAGGGGAGTGGTTTAACTCATAATAAGTGGTCCCTCCCCTGGTGACCCTCCCTGGTTCCCATAGCTGGAGGAAATCTTTCTAGTGAAAAAAAAAAAAAAAGCACACCTATTCCCTTGGAATGCTGACTTTCCTGAGCCAAGGAAAGTTCTGAAATAGCCTTTTAACCTTAAATGACTATACAATAAGAGGGAGGTTGGCAAACAAATGACAGAGGCGTTAGAGGCAACCGTAAATCCTGTAATAATGGCGATCTATGGGTTAGTGCTTACATAGACACGCAGATGGAATCGCTGTGGGAGGGCAAGTGGGAGTATGTGCACATGCGTGTGCATGCATGCATGCGTGTGTCGCAGTGGATATTTATACATGGGCATTTATTTATCTTTGCAGGAGCCCTGCTGGAGCTGTAGGTTTGAAATGGGGCTGCTAACCGCAGGGTCGGCAGTTCAAACCCACCAGCCACTCGGCAGGAAAAAGATGACCCTGTCATCCCGATAAATATTTGTTATCCTGGAAACCACATATAGGGTCGCTATGAGTTGGAATCAACTTACGATTTTTTTGGCTTTATCTCTGCTGCATATATATCCATGAATGTGGTGGAGCGTACAGGGAAAGTTATGAAAATGTATTAGACATAACCAAAGACCGTGAGGGGTGGAGTTACTGGGCCTGGGGGCTCAGGATCATAGCCTTTCGGGGAGACTAAGTTTAATTAGCATCAAATAATCCTCAAAGACAAGGTTCCGCATCCTGCTTCGGTGAGTAGCAACCCGGGACATCGGTTCTCAACCTGTGGATCTCGACCCCTTTGGGGGTCAAACAATCCTCTCCCAGGGGTTGCCTGATTCCTAACAGTAGCAATATGACAGTTATGAAGTAGCAACGAAAATAATGTTATGGTTGTGGCGGTCACCACAACATGAGGAACTGTATGAAAGGGTCACGGCGTTAGGAAGGTTGAGAACCACCGATCCAAGGTCTAACTACCAGTCTCTCCCTATATAGAGCGATACATTTGGAAGGCTCCTGACAACAATTCACCCTACAGACTAATGGGCCGTGTAGGGTGGCACTTCTATCTACTTTCGGTTATGAAGTTAACCTATTACACGCCCCACTGACTCCTGTTGGGCAGTAGCCCCTATAATTAAATTGTATTGGCTTTTTACTGTGTCTCTGTCTGCCCAGATTCAAGGTAACACAGCCGTGAGAACTCGATGGGGCCGTTCTGCTCTGCACACATGGGGGCGTCGCCTGGAGATGGAATCCACTGGACAGCACGGAGGGTCGAGATGAGCCAGAATCTGACTTGATGGCTGAGTATGGTTTTTGGTTTGTTTCTGGAGCGCTGAAAATGACAACAGGGATCAAGCTACCACTCCAACAAGCTTGCTATTGGTAGCCGCCCTTTCAGGGCTGGTTGAAACTCTGAATTAAAATGACTGGCAGAGCACTGGACACGGAGAAGGCCACTTCCCCTTCCGGTCCCAATGGGCGTGCATCTGTCAAGGAGGGGCAAGACTCCTAAGATGACCCTTTCCGGTAGCCTGGCAAAGAAATCATTGGCGAGCCTTTGAAGGACAGCTAGAGACGAAGTGATACGATGCCTTCTGAAAGACTGTGGACATTAAAAAGCCCTGTCCACAAACAAGTCCTTCATTGTTGCAGATGAACTGTCCAGCGTATGAATTATTATTCACGGTGCTTGCTTCAGGTTCTGGCCCCTGACGGTTTGACCACGGCATCCCTTGTTAGTACTTGATTTGTAACTTAGCTCCCTTTCCACTGAGTCCTACTTCACAAGCCATGTCATAATAAATGGTGAGAGTCCCCTGTGAGTTGCTTTTTGTAAATGAATACGAATACTCCCTTACTCTCCCCTTAGACGAAACTCTTAGCCCAGGTGTCTCCATTTGCTAGCATCCTCCTTGCCCGGTGGCTACTTACTAACAGCTCTGGGACTCCAGCTCTGTGCTCCAGGCTCCCAGCCTGGTCCTTTTTTCTCCGAGCCAGCCCCTCTTACAATAATGTCCCATGCATCAATCTTCCTCAAGGGAAGTATGGGGCAGGGGACACTGCCTTCTATTGAACATATACATGAGAGCAAAATGATTCCTCTATCGTTTGTGATAAATGGATCGAGATGTCTCTGGGTCTTCATTCCCACAGTCCTACAATCTATGAACATTAAGTGAGTTCAAGCCTTAAAACAGATGATCCATGATAGGCTGAAAGTCTCAAAATATATCAAACAGATCAACCTCACCCCCACCCCAAAAAACCCAGGTTATCCTTTGATGAATGTTTCAGACATTTTAAGAAATGTTCATTCGCCAGTGCCCCAAGGTTAAATGGCTCAGTTGAAAGAACGTGTAGCTTTATGGTCTTGTGGACCCAGATCGAATTTCAGCCCCACTACCTACTCTCTCTGAAGAGCGCTGGTGGCCTAGTGGATTACACTCTGAGCTGTTAACCCCAAGGTCAGTGGTTGAAGCCCACCAGCTGCTCCTCAGGAGGAAGATGAGGCTGTCTGCCCCTGTAAAAATTACAGCCTCACATGGCGGTGCAGTCTGCATCAAAGGGGCAGTTCGGTTCTTCTCTGCCCTCTATGGTTACTATGAGCTGGAATCAACTCTGTGGCAGTAGGTTAGGTTTTCTGGCACCTACCGACTCTGGCGCTGCCATCAGGTTAAGTGTTGGGAGGCTCACTGCAAAGTCAAACCCACCAGCTTCCCCTCGGGAAGCAGGATAAGGCAATCTGCTCCCTTAAAGAGTGACAGTCTTGGGACGTCCTACACAGGGCACTTATGAGTCAGAACAGACTTGCAGGCAGAGGGGGGGTGGTTGTGGGGGCTACTAGCTGTGTGACCCTGGGAAACTTAACTAAAGCCTCTTATACATTAAGATCCTCATGGGGAAATGAGGGGGATGATACTCCTCTCTTAGGCTGCCACGAGGATCAAAAGACATGGCATAAAGCACAGAGGAAGTGACTGGCGTCGACGGCTTCGATAAATGTTAGATCTCCTTTTTTGAAGGCAAGGCCAACGACTTCCAAACATTTTGACTCTACGTCACCCTGTGAACGTGGAACTATGCTAGGGTGGTTTCTCTACTGAAGCCCAGTGTTAGGTCACTGTAACATAGCACATAGAGATGAACGTCTTTTATCAAAGGCTGACCCTTCCTTTTGCCTAGGGCTATCTTTATTTCTTCCAGCAACCAGGGATCTCCCTGCCCCCGCCCCCCAACCATTCTCCTCCAAGCCCTGTGCTTTTAAAATCCTCTTCTTGCACTTGAATTTCTCTCATTTTCGATTTCCTTTCCAGAATTCATCTTTTATATACATGATTAGAATATTCAGCTAACATGGTGTTCCATACTTATAAAAGACATCCTTAATTCAAAACACACCTGAATTTTGCTCCCCCACCCACAGGAGCTCAGTCGGCCTCTCTTGTGTGGCCATGAAGGGATATGGGTGAAGGTGAGGGAGAGACTAAACACCCGTCTAGGAAGACAGATTGGCTGAAGCAACCTAGGAGAGCCGCAGCATCCCACACAGCCCTGCCAGGGAACGCTCACGTCTGCCCACAGAACCAGGGTGTCTCTTGTGCGCATCCCTTGGTTTTCCTTTATCAGACGAGTCCATGGGCCTCCAGGAAGAGAAAATCCCAGCTCTCCACAGTGACTTGATAGAGGCTTTGGAGAATTTCATGTAAGACTTCTTGTGATGGCTTGAAGCATCCCAGAAGTCAATTTTCAAGACACCACCCCCCGCTACCAAAAAAAAATCTGCCTTTCCAAATATGGCAGTGTTTATTAGGACTAGCGATCTCAGTGATTAGCATCGCTTTTAAAAACATACCATACACTCTTATGAGATCCAACATCAATGCGGCTGAAATGATATCACTTCTTTCCTTTCTTTCTTTTTTTACTTAAAAAAGGCAGATAAAAATAAGTTGCTTTCTTTGAAAACCTCATTAAGTCTTGATTAGTTTACAAAAGCATGAGCCTGTAGGTATGGGCTGATTGGTGAGCTGTGGAAGATGGCGTTTCCTGGCTAGTGTTTCAGGGAATTCAATGGAACGTTACTCTTTAGAGGGAGGAAGCACTTATAAGACGACTCTCTTATTAATTTAATTGCTGCACACAAAATTGCACCTCAAGTCCACATTAGAACAATATTGGTTAATCACCATCTTATACTCCTTCAAGAGGTGGCTCATTATAAACTGGACCCCACAGGGCTGGCGACAGAGAAAATACAGGACCCCGGTTACTAGTGGTTGAAAAAACAGAAACAAAACCCAGAGGAAGAAAACTCAAACTCACTGCCCTGCGTGCATTCTGGCTCCCAGCAACCCTACAGGACAGAGTAGAACTGCACTGGGTTCCTGAGACTGTCGCCCTTTATGGGAGTTGAAAGCCTCATCTTTCACCCATGTGATAGCAGCCCAACTATACATAGCCCACTATGCCACCGGGGTGCCTAGTGAAGAGGAAAATATTTTTTTAAGTAACCAAATTAATACAAAGGGAGACAGTAAAACCCACGGGAGCAGGAACCTGTGTAAGGCAGACACCTGTCAGGGAAACACCACCACCACCCCCCCAACATATTTTCCACCAATCCAATCCAACCCAAACCAAACCCATCAATTCCAACCCCTAGTGACGCTAGATAGAATTGTTAAGGTTCTGTAGATTCCGGGGAGCACAAAACTCCATCTTTCTCCCTTGGATCAGTTGGTAGGTTTGAACTGCCAACCCTGCGATTAGCAGCCCACCGCTTACCTGAGAGCACCACCTAGGAGTCCCACTGAATTCAGGCTTTCACGGGCTTCACTGTACTTAGTTAAGAAGTATTTTGTAAAATCCAATCGACTTTGGGTTATGTTAAAGCTCAGTTGGATCTGGATGTGGCATTGTCCCTTCTAATTCTGTGGGTGGTATTTAAGATGTCATGAAATTTTAGAAATGTTTTTCAAGCAGCTTACAATGGCCTTTGGTATTTTTTAGGAATTACATACTATGTGGTTGCTTGAGGCTAATCTGTTTGTGGGAAAGTGGGCACGCTGCAGAAAGCATTAGTTCAGTCATTCTAGAATAGTAATACAACAACAACAACAACATCTTAAACAAAGGGAGAGAAGGTGTGAGTGAAATACATCTCGGATCCCACTTCTTGACTCTACTTACTGGTGGTGATCGGTGCCACTTAAAGTTGTTGGGATGATTAGTTAACTTCCCTAAGGAGTCCTGAAGGTGCCCTGGTGTGTAATGGTTACTTGTTGGGCTGCTAACCATAGGTCAGCAGTTTGAAACCACCAGCCGTTCCATGGAAGAAAGATGGGGCTTTTTACTCCCGTAAAGAGTTATACTCTCAGACACACACAGGGGCTGTTCTACCCTGTGCCGTAGGGAAGCTGAGTCTGCATTGACTGGATGCTGTTAATTACTTAATGTATTCTTTGGACAGATCCCTGGTGGTGTAGTGGGTTACACATTGGGCAGCTAACTGCAAGGTCAACAGTTCGAAACCACCAGCTGCTTCTCAGGGGAGGGTGGTGATGGAAAGGTGAGGCTTTCTGCTCCCATAAATATTAACAGCCTCAGAAACCCAAAGTGATAGTCCTACCCTGCCCTGTGGGGTTGTGAGTTTTAGGGCGCATCTGGAAAGGAAGGAGGATGAGGATGGTGTAGCTCTGTGGCCAGAGCAAATGAGACACCGCATCTTCAAGTACTCAGTCCCTCCTCAACCATGGATGCAGCTGGCCACATAGGCCGCATTCACTGAAAGGATCTGTTGGCCACAAGAGATGCTTGAGTATCAGTGAGCAACTTGTGAGCCCAGTTTCACTGTGGTTTAGGTAAGATCCATTTTTTTAAGTCTCTAGAAATATTGATATCAACAGTAACAGTTGGGGGGTAAAATCAGGGGGGGAAAGACCTAAACATTTTGTACCAGCCTTATTGATTTTCCTGCAAGTTCATACTTGCAGAGTTAAAGTCATTTCCCCTCCCTAGAAGTATAAACAAGGTAAGTAGGGTAAGCTTCTGGGGGGGAAAATTTAAAGCAGTATATTTATATCATGACCATACATTTTTTGGTGAAGATAAATAAATGATCATTCTTTCCAGGTGAGATAAAATCAAACCCAAACTGAGCTCACTGTCCTGGAGTCTATTCCAATTCATAGCGACTCCATAGGATAGAGTATGACTACCTCTGTGGGTTTCCGAGATGGTGAATCTTTATGGGAGTAGAAAGCCTCCTCTTCCACCCTTGATGCTGCTGGTGGTTTCGAACTGCTGACTGACCTTACGATAAGCAGCCAAGTAAAAATCCAGAATGCCTCCCACCAGGGCTCCAGCTAGAAGCAGCCGGATAGAAATCAAACCCAGCCCCAGGGTAAACACAGGCAGTCAGAACTCTGTGCTATAGCTTACTTTAACGGCCACCTACATCCCTCTGGTCAACTTGTCAGCTAGGGTAAGGATCAGCCAGGTTGCTGGGCTTCTGAACCTTCATGGGGTGTATAGAGCGAGTTTCCAGGCTGCTGGAAGTCAACCCCTTTCACTTATCCAGTGTGGTACTCACTTCAGCATCTCCACCCCGTCCCCACCAGCCTCCCCAGTACCGGCTATATAAACTTGAGCACAGCTGATGAGCTCATCGTCTGCACAGGGTCTCGATTCCCCCAGACCAGGGGGAAGAATGACGTAACCCATTTCCCAAGAGGAGATACCCTCACAGAGGCACTGTTCAAACTGCTGGCAAAACCAACCCAAATTCTAAGAGCCAGGAAAAACAACATTGGCACAAGTCTCTTCAGCACCTTTCTAGAGTTGCCACGTCCCAGCAAGGTGGGCAGAGGGGTCATCCGGTTCACCGGAGCCAGCCATGCAGCCGGTGACAATGCTGCCCTTGGGGAACACTGGGTTCTGTGGCATAGGGGTTTACGAAGATGCCGACCTACCATCACTGCTGCCCCGGAGGACTACATCTGGGGAAGGTGTCTGCCGGGAGCGGGAGCCAAAGGAGTCCAGGCTGTCGAAGGAGTCATCTCTGCCGTGCCGGGGAGGGGAGAGGGAGTCGCTGCGCTCGGAGTCCCAGCAGTCGATGTAGCCGCTGTCTCGGATGCTACGCTTAGGACTCTCAGTGTCATCCGCCTCCTGGCGCAAAAGGAAACGGGGGATTATGGGCATCGCTGCAAGGCAGCGGTTGGCAGTATCATCAAGTGCTATGGTCCACCCCACCCCACCCTCTGCTGCATAGCTCATGAGCGTGGCCGGCAATCGGCAACCTTCGCCAAGCCATCACCCCACCTCCACCAGAGAGCCACACTCAGCATGGCCAAAAGGAGATGCTCAAGGGACCCCCCCCACCCACCGGGGTTTCAAAACCAACATAACAGTCATAAAACAAACCCGAAGGAATTCATAGTAAAGGATCACAGGACTGGATGTCTGTAAATACAGTGACAGATGAAAGCGTCAACGAAAATGAAAAAGACAAAATGAAATAAACCCTGTAAAACCTGAAACCTTAACCTTGACCCGCCTTTCGGAATCCATAACTGCATGTCTGTCCTGGGACTCGCCCCCGGTTCAGCCGAGCAACTGGCCCTGTCTGTGCTGGCTGGCAAATGCACGCAGCATTCGTTTGTGCAGCAGATTAGTTCCGTTAAGTCCTGGAGCAGAGTGCTTCCAGCGCCTTCTACCTTGAAGGGAAATTCCTGCTCTGAGAGGAAGCTGGCTTTCTGAGGCAAAAAGTTTGGGGGGGAAAAAAAGGCAAGGAAAAATATGCAGAAGGCGTTTTCCTGTTGCCTCAGAAGAATCCAGGCATGCTCGCTGCTCTCGGCCAGCTCCTGGCGCGGGGGGAGCCCCGAGCACTGTGGCTGACCCACATGCTCTGAGCCCTGAGAACAATGGCCGCCTTTGACAGCCTGTGATTATAAATTCTTTCCAGCACAAGCAGCACATACTAAAACACTGGAACTCTAGCAGGAGAAAGGTCAGTCCAGCCATGCGCACCCTCGTATTAGAATCAAAGCCTTGTTCCCACCAGTGTCTTAGCATTAATTACACTCGTCCGGACTGAGGATAACAAAAAATAACTCCGGACACTCAAAAGAGACACCTCTCTTTAAATCCCCCCCGCACTCCCCCAGACACCAGATTGTCGCTTCAAGTCAGGGCTGGGATGGCACTGGCCGAGGGGTCTGTCCGCATCTGGAAAGTCTGGAGTGTCACATTGCAGATTTCTCATGACCCTCTCTCCCACCTTCTCAACAGAAAGGGGGAGACATTGCTCCATGCTACCCACTCAAACCCACTGCCGTCCACTCCCTTCTGACTCGCAGGGAGAGACCGTACGGAGGGTTTTTGTGGCTGTACATCTTCACGGGAGCAGCCAGCATCATCTTTCTCCCGCACCCTGACTCCTGGGCTTGAACCAGCCTTGTGCCATGTCGGAATTTTCGAAGACTGTCTACATTGTCCAGGGAGCCCAATGGAGCCAACGCTTTCACAGGCAGCGTCTTTGATAGCCTCCAATGATGCCCTGAGACACTTCACAGGGGTGCAGGTGAGAGGAGAAGAGTTCGCACCCTACAGCGTTCACGCAGAGGAGGTGATCCGAGCTAACCAAATGGCCACCTGGGTGGATGCAGCTGCCACAACTCCCAAGAGGCAGACATTGCAGTGGCAGAAATAAAGGTCAAAAGTTAACCAGGACTTGAACAAAAGCCAGGCTCCACCTGCTTAACAGAGAAGAACTCCCTGAAAAGTGTAGATCGAAAATGGATTTTGATTTCTGACTTCATTTCTTCGGAAATGCAAGTAATTGTCTTGGACCGGTTATCTGCTGAGACTTGGCCCAATGGCTGAGAAATGAAGGTCACCTTGTATGAAGCACTATGTGGATGGGGCTATACTTGATTTGATTTTTTTTTGGGGGGGGTATGTCCTATTACTTCCTCCTCACCTCCTCCCAATGACATGGTGGTGGGGATTTCATTTTACGGATGAGAAATATGAGGCTCAGAGAGGTTACATAATTTGAAAAGAGGTCACGCAGTGGCAGAGCTAGGGCTATACCACACGATTCTGTACTCAACTCTCAAATGGTGAAACTTGAAAATGTTTCATCACCTTTGGTAGGATGACAGCTGCCACACCACCTGTGTGACTGGACACTTACTGCCTCCTGACCCTGTGGCGAGGCAGACCCTGCCGATGTCCCCCAGCTAAATGCCAGTTGTGCCTGCATCACCACACTGTACCCACCGTCTGAGAGAGGCAGTTCGGGGTCCTGGTTATAAACATGATCTCCAATGCCGGGCTGAGTGTTAATCCCAGGCCCAGCACTTACCAACTGCAGGACTTCAGACCTTACCTCTCAGACCTCAGTTTCCTCACCTGTAAGATGGGACAATAGTAGTGCGTATCTCACAACGTTTCTGGGAAAGTGCTATGTGTCAGTTTACAGAGAGCATTCAAAAGAATGCCTGATGGACAGTTTGCCAAAACGAATCAACTGAGTCCATTCCAACTGAGACCCTATAAACCACTGCCTTGATGTAGATTCTAGTTCATAGGAACCTAATAGGGTAGAATAGAATTTCTCGCTGGGATTTTCAAGACTATAAATCTTTTAGGAGGTACATCGCCTCATCTTTCTCCCTCAAAGTGACTGGTGGATTTGAACCACTTAACTTGTGGTTAGCAGCTCCATGCATGGCTCCTCTATGCCACTATAGGCATACTACTCAAAACTCACTGCCATTGAGTCCATTTCAACTCACGGCAACCCTATAGGTGGAGTAGACCCAGCTCTGTGAGTCTGTAACACTGTTTAAATTTTTATGGGAGTAGGTAGCAGCTGGTGGTTTTGAACTGCTGATTTACTGGTTAGTAGCCTAATTGGTAGGCCGCTACACCACCAGGTGTGTTCTAGGTGCTCCAAAAGTGTGAGCTATGGCCATAATGACTATTATGTATTTGTTCATGTATGTAAATAGCAGCATATAAAAAAAATCACACAAAATTCATTAAAAGACTGTTAGAGACACAGCCTTATAGACACCTTTATTTCTTCCTCTGTTAATCTGTCCGTATCTGCAGGGTTACTAGAATTCAAGATCAACTGAGTGATAATAGGCACCTAAAGGTCCTATCGGGTAGGGTGGACAGGGAGCCCAACCACTGGCCACATCTCAAATGGTCACAAGGACAAGTGGCTAGCCGCAACATTACGAAATGTTGGAGTTTAAGAAAATACTGTAAAGGTTTCCCCAAAGGCTCACATTTCTTCCTGACTCCTACCCCACAGCCCCCTGGAGAATGGAGACTAGGAAAGGGAATGTCCAAATGTTCCCGAGCCTCCGCGGCTTGTTCACCTCTAGTCATGGGAAAGCAGAGCACAGCGGGCACGGCGTCCGCCACCGCCCAGAGAGCCAGGAACTCCGTCCCGGGTCACGTCCGAGAGCTGGAAGCTGACGGATGTGGTCAATAAGAAAAGTGAAAACCAGCTCCCAAGTGACCAGCCGTGGCCGAGCTGAGCCCCTAGGAACTTCGAGGTGAAATGGGAGGCTGGTCATTTAGTCAGAAATACAGCTGTGGACACCAGCTGGACTTACGTCTTTCCATAAATTGCCCACCCTTTGTTTTGGGGTCATCTAAAGTTCTAAGGAAGAGAAAAGATATAGACCAATACGAAGCCTTAGGAAAAACAAGAACAAACAGCCAACGAAACAGCAGGAACCTCAAACAAACAACCTCAACACTACCTGCTGCATCTCTGCTGATTCCTGGGATCACCTCGAGCGTTAGGGGAGGGAACTGTACGGTTTCGATGTAGAGATCCCCAGGTCTTTCTTGGAAAGCCATCTCTGAGTAGGCTCAAACCACCAGCTTCTTGGTTACTAGGCAAGCGAGTGACCATTTGTGCTCCCCAAGAACTCCGTAACAGAAAGGCTGTTGTAAAGTGCTATCTAGACGGTTCAGACTCAGCCACCTGAGTCACAGAAGGAAACACCGACCAGTCCTGTATGGTTCTCCCAAGGGTGCCGATGCTCAAATTCATTGTTGCAGCCACTGTGTAAATGCATCTTGCCATGGGACTTCTGTGTATTTATTTATTTTTGCTGACCTTCTACTCACAGAGTATAAATTCTTTCCCAGGGACTAGTCTCTCCTGTTAACATGCCCCAGGTATGACATGAAGTCGTCTCATCTTCACTTCGACAGAGCATTCTGGCAACACTTCCTCCCAGACAGATGGTTTGTTCTGATCGTCCACGGTATTTTCACCAACACCGTCATTCAGACCCCTCGATTCTTCTGCGGTATTCCGTATGCATGGTTCACCTTTTACATACGTAGGAGATGACTGAACACACCAGGGCTTGGATCAAGTGCACCTTCATCTGCGCAGTGGTCATCTTCTCTCTTTAACACTTCAAAGAGGTCTTTTGTAGCAGATTTTCCAAATAAAATATGTCATTTAATTTCCTGACTGCCGCTTCCATGTATTTTCATTGTGGATCTAAGTAAAATAAAATCTTCGGCAACTTCAATACTTTCTCCGTTTATCAAGATTTTATCTAGTGGTCTAGTTGTGAGGAGTTTTGTTTTCTTTTTCTTCCTTTCACAGTTTCATTAGCATATAATTCACATCTCACTCAATTCAATAATTCAATCACATCAAGAACAGTTGTACAATCATCACTATACTCAATTTTAGAACATTTTCTTCACTTTCCTTACATTGAGCTGAATTTCAGATCCAAGGGTGCAGTCTTTGATTTTCATCAGCAAGTAGTTTGTATCCTCGTGGCTTTCAGCAGGCAGGGCTGAGCCATCTGCCTTCCTTTAGCCCAAGAAGAAATGTGCTGTGGTTAATTGTGTGGGTGTGTTATTTTATTTTGATTACAACCAATATGGAAACTCTGTCCATTTATAAATACACGAGCTAGAATGGCTCTAGCCAAATGCCAACTATAAGGGCTATTAACTTTTATTTGCGGGGAGAAAACAAAGAATAAATGATTTGGAAATTTGGAGAAAATTCTTGCTTTCAGTCTTAAAAGAACAAAGGTTGAAAACTGAGCACCTCTCAGTGAGATCTCGCTGGTTCACTTGTTCGACAAGGTAGGAAAAGGAGACAGGGCCGCTCACTGCCCGCTGCCATCAAGTCCAGTCTGACTCCACGGCCGACCAGCGCTGCCCAGGGGTTCCAAGGCTGTGGCTCTCTTTGGAAGCAGACATCTCCTCTTGCTCACAGGGGGCTGGTGGACTCAAGCAGCCAGCCTTTCACCTGGCAGCCAAACACGTAACTAGTGGGCCACCAGGGATACTTGGGAACATGTATGGCCTTTTTGTGCAATTAGATTTGTGCTGTGTTAACATTCTGTCTTCCTCTAAAACTGATTACAAGTGCGCCTTACCAATTTATTACAGCCTTCGGGATGGTACTGACTTTTCACGGCCATTGAGTGTATTCTAACTCCCAGTGATCCTTTAAGACAGAGTAGTTCCTCTCCTACGGGATTCCAAGGCTGTAAATCTTTACAGGAGCCGAAAGTCTAATCTTCCCTCCTCAGAGCAACTGGTAGGTCTGAACTGCTGCCCAATGGGTAGCCCACTACCCCATCAGAGCTCCTTATGTGATTTACGACTCGTTTGTCTGGGAGTCCTCCTGGCTTCATGGCTAAGGGCTTGACAGCTAA